CTTCGCTGTCGTACTGAGACGGGATATTCTTCAGTGAACATCGAACTGTTGCAGAGTGGATTATACGTTGAAAAACAAGCTATTATCAATAACCATATCAGTAACAACCGCCCTGTATTAAAGAGCACTGCCGATTATGCATTCTTCATTCGTACGGTGTTCACTGAAGAAGATCCCGTCTGGGTACGACGACGGAGGCGCCATATCGGGATCAGAAGAACTGTGGACCACCGACACGGACCATCGGCTCTGATGAAGACGAAGACGTCGAAACGCTTGCCGAAATAAACATAGTGATCGGTCTCGTGTAAGCCCAACATATTACAAACATTTAGTAGCGTTTAGTAAATAATTTTACTGAGTTTGTTAAAATTTTTATTTCAGGTCAAAGCCCACATGGAGAAAATTCATTCGAACCCTAAAATAAAGAAGTGGATCGAGAGTCGACCACAGACGGCGTTCTAATCGATTTTCATCGGGTTAATGAGCTTCAAAGTTGTTTTCTCGATGTTTACGTGTTGTGTCTGACTTTAGTATGTTTAATAAAAATATTAGCCTACATATAGATTGAAATCGTTGTTTGTGCAGAAATCGTTCTTATATTGCGTTCCAAGATAAGATGTATGCAGCTAAAAAGAAAAGATTTCTTCAACGAAATGAAAGTAAGGAAGTAGATTTAGATTAGGCTAACATGAGACTAAGCGGTCTATACATATGCCAGACTTGATTGGCATATAGAGTTAGTAATATAGAAGAAAATTATAGAGAGATGGGAAGAAAAACACTGGAAATACGTCTTGTTGATCAAGTGAGCCGCATTGTTTATAGACTGAAGTAATGATGGCCTTTTTTGGAGGAGAGGTTTTGTGAGAGTGGAAGCGATGCAGCGACGTTGTGTGCATTGCAGTGTAAGACGTGAGCCACTTTATCTGTTGTTTTACACAAACGAGTATGGAATGATATTAAAAGAGGAATTCGTCGAAGAAAGATTCGGGCCAGATTCGTGTATAACAGAGAAAGGGAACGAATAGGAAACTATCGTACTATGTTCCAGTACTGTTAGTGAAAGCAAGCCATGAAGATTTATGTATGCCTAACTAATGAAGGCAGAGTTAATCTCCATTTCTGATTTGATTGCAAATGCTTAAGGATGTGATGTGCCATTTGGATTTCTCATAGGAAAGCTACCTTTAAGATCGACTTCCAGAAAAGGTCCGGCACCGTCGCTGTCAAAGACATAAAAAAGCACGACTGGTCAAGCTACATGGAAAAAATATTGGTGATAATCCATAACATGAAAGGCAAGCAAGATCCTAGCAATTTTTTCCTACTGAAGAGGAAGAAAACTTCTAACGTAGGAAAACTTCTTATGAAGTAGGTCGAATCCCAATGCAGCAATATCTGTCTTCAGTTCTTTAATTTTCTCAAAGAGAATGACGACTGGATGTGACATTAATCGTCGAAATATTATAGATATTACCACCAGAGTATTAATCTGAACTCAAACGAAGTCGACCATAATTTCACAGGAATCGTGATCAAGGTAACCGACAATTTGGAAAACTACACTGCACACCTATATAACGAAAAGCTATGTTCAACGGTAATTTTTCGGCTTGATAAGTGTTTTTGGATCCACTATGAGGTCACAGATGCTAGGAAATGGGACCAAGCCTCGCAGCATTGTTGGATTGCACATTGGTCTTTACGAAGTCCCAGGATCCAAACGCGAACCCTTTCTGGTCAACATTCTGAGACCCGTGGATCGGTGCGTAAGCTTCCAACGACTATTACAAACGGTGGAATTCTCATCAAGTCGCACTACACGGTGAACAGCCGAGAAATTTGCACCGAACCGAAGGATTCATTTTCTCTTTGTCAGTGGAGAAAACCTAATCTCATCATAATGAAGACTCTGATTTTGTAATTCTTTAGTTCTAAAGTAGGATGAGCTACATTAAAGGTTCTCTGTAGGACTATCCAACCTCATCAACGGTGCTGACAGCCAGCAGTTGACGAAGGGGTCCACATTCAGTCTTTATATTTTTTAAAAATTGAAGTTAATTATGTCACTCATTCGAGGCTTTTCTTAGCACGCTGAAACACTGATCAAATAAGCAAATGCTTACTACATTACCAAATTTGAAGCCCTAGAGGTCCAGTCATTATAGTCAAACATTCTTCGTACCATCATCATTAAAAATTATCTGTTTGCTGTATTTGCTATGTCATACCCAGAACGATTATCTATGAGGATCATCTCAATCCATCTCTCTTGGTACGCAGTACGGCTATCTAAGAGAATAATCTCAACCCCACTCCCATGATTAGGCATTACGGTAACCTAGAGAAATTCAGTCCTAACGCTCTATTTTTTACTAGAAAATCTGATATGCCACCTTAAAACTGTTGAAGCTTCTTCCGTTTTCATAGTCGAAGGCATGACTGTATCCTAACGGTTACGTCAGTACTGTTCCCTTACTGTTGTGCTTGAATTCGATCAACAGATCATGATTTCCGTCGTTTATGATGCAGTTCATGAAAAGGTTGGTAAAAAAGCTGAGCAGCAGGTTAAGTTTAGGCATTGCGAACAAGTGGTGTAGTCTATGTGGGATATTTCTCTCCATATATTAACTGTTTTTGACGTTGTTGGTATGCACAGCTTTTCGTATTGCCTTGATGTAACAAATAATGCTCCAGTTATTGCTATTGTACTTAAGATGATCTGTGTTGAACCATATGGAGATTGTGGTCAAGTGAATGTCATCTCCGAACATTCTCAGATTGTCGCTGACGATAGCCTTCAAAAGTCGTTGGTCTTCATGGGAAGACAAATCTAACTTTTTTAACCCTTTTATTTACTGCCTTTTTCTTTTCAATGGCAGAGTATGTTGCGAAATATAACTCGTATATAAAGCTGAGATATTTGCAAAACTCCGGACCGCAGGTGTATGCCGTGGGGAACGAACGCACTATTGTCCTTTCCGGGGAGTAGTGCACCACCACACCATCCGGGTCCTTCTTTTTGCCTGTCTCTCAGCTAGTTCTACTGATCCTTTACCATCAGCAATCACCCGTCAACGGGATTGATCTGGGAAGCCCAAATTGGCAATGAACCCAGTTAAGCTGATTAATAGAACTAGCTGAGAGAAAGGCAAAGAGAAGGACCCGGATGGTGTGGTGATGAAGTGCGCTACTCCCCGGAAAGGACAATAGCGCGTTCGTTCCCCACCGCATGCACCTGCGGTCCGGAGTTTTGCAAATATCTCAGCATTATATACGAGCTAAATCTAACTTTGTTGAGATTCATCAAGGTTAAGAGACACATCGTCTATTGGCATGTTATCTACTCGATTAGGTTACGTTTGAGCGGTTGCTAACGTATCTATAACGGATGCCATATATGACTTTCAGTAAATGATGCAGGAAACATTCCTCTTCAGATACTGCAACTATAGGGCGCACCTGGCGCAGCGGTTGGACGCACCCTGCGACACACGCGTGGAATCGATCCTGCACCCATGGCCCACGAAGCCTTGCCTTCCATCCCTCCGGGCTCGGCATGTTGGTACCAGATCTGTATGGGAGGATAGCAGCACTGGCTGAATACATCGGTAGGCCACCACGAGTCATGGTAAAGGCCAGATATGCATTCATTCACCTCCAACGATACTTAATGAAGTCGAATGCATGCTGCATCTCTCAGCGAGTGACAAATGCCGAGAGCTTTATCGATATCCTTTTACTGCAACTGTATATAAAGAATTTACGTTGATTTGTTTTGTAAATTTAGTAAAAAAAGTATTTTTATTGTTTATTCTATTGCGCCGATCGCAGCACTTCTTGCATTCGATTCATTTTCCCGCATCATCCACGATGGTGTCGAATTTTGCCGCGGGTCTGGCTGCTGCTTGAGGATTTTCGTCATCGCTGCGACTGTTGTTGAAGGCTGCACTGGTCGAGTCAATTCTCCCTGAAGTCTTGGCATAGCCGTACTAGGGTTTCGTCCTGGGATAGCGGTGTTAGAGTTCCATTCTGCAATAGCCGTATTAGGGTTTCTCCATGTGCACTGGAGGGAATGGGCTGATCTCAGACAAGTCTCGTAGTTATTTCCGGACCACGGTGAGAGACCAGGCTTGGTGAGTCCGTGGTAAGGGTGGAATTATCACAGTGTTCGTGATGCTACTGCGCTACCCACTCCCTGTTTGGTAGAAATGGTAAAGTCAGTGTGTAAAAATTAGTATTTGGTTAGCTTTTTCTCCTTGTAGTTATATTTGTATTTGTTCCTATCAAATTACGCTTGCTACATCATCATCGAGCGATTAATTACTTCACTAATTGCGCGATTCATTGCCCTCTCAGAAATCGCTTCCGTGTTGAAAGAATTCCATTGCGACAAATCTCCTTGCAGTCCACAAAGGTATGCACCTTTGATGATGACCTGAGTATGTTCTAGTATGACTATATCGGGATTCTAAAGAAGACATGCCTCATCTGGTATGCAGTAAGGAGATGGTGTGTACTTCTATCAAATCTGCACTCGTACTTAAGTGACATCACCTCCTTGTACGAATGTCAATGGTAAGGTAGCGAAAGAAATATAAGAAAAGGAATTCAGGTACTCGCCCAATATGTGAAAAAGGGTAATCGAACTAAGGATATTTGTGTTCGCTGCAGCAAGAAGCAGTGTTAAGTGCTTTTACAGGGACAAAGATTATTCTGTTCCATTGCTGACCAATATGAACTCTGACTGTTACGCTTATTTTTTTTCCAGATGGTGGTTTTATACGATTTTCTCAGATTTATTGCAGGATAAGGTTGACTCTTGTAAACATACGAAGAAGTGGGTTATTTGCAGCCGAGTTATGAAAGATTTCTCGAGACATTCGCTTGCCTTCCTGTAAATCTACGAAAAATGTTTGTTGTAGTTCAATTGCACATTACGAATACCGTAAATGGGGCGCAGGGAGCGGAGTTGTATAGCTTCCAATACGCATTTTATTGTTGGTTCAATCTTGCGCCCGGAGTTAACCAAATCGTCAATGTCTTTGGGTCAGCATTTGGTACTAAACTTGCTTGTGAAGATCAAAACATTGACTTAACATTTTGAAGTGCTCCCGAAAGCCACTACATAGGCCAAAAATGCATTCAGCTATCTGCATGGTGCTACGGGTGGAGTCCAGTGTGCCATACATCCCAGATGGAAATATCTACCTCTAATCCTTATGAATAGATCAGCGCTGACTCACTATGATTTTAATATCACTGAGTAATCGGTTGGTAAGTAGATTATTGTGAGGGACTGAACAAGGTCTCCGATGTTGGTCTGCCCAGAAACGAACGATGAGCATGGTGATCAGCAAATCCGAAAAGAAACAGTTCTCCGCTAAATATTGTGGATATGAGCTGAATTGAAATGAAAAGAAAGATCAATGAATGTCACTCACAAGCTTGTTTTTCGGTTGGATGTATTCAGGAATTTTCAGGTTTTCCACGACCAGTTTTATACGTTTACGAGAATATTCAGCTGGATCAAGGGGCCAGTCATCAGATGAGGTTATGTAGATCTGAAAGGAACACAACCTGATTGCAAAAATCCTTTAAGTCCGTTAATTTGCAGATCTACTTCTGAATAAACCTTTCTTCAGGAAAATAAAGGAAGTACGACATTTTATTCACCGATCTTAATCGTATCTACAGAGAAGTAGTAATAAAGAGAGATCCTCATGTGGGAACAACAGCCCACTATCGTACTGCGATCTCACTTACCGTGACCTTTACATGTTCTCCGGCCTTTAAAATTCCATGAGATTGTGAGAGTCGCATCAATTTTTCCTGATAAGAAAAGACTCGTAGTGATTATATGGTTATACTTCAGTGGTGTACATATTCCATATTGCTTTCGCCACGGCAGTACCGTATAAAGCATGGAAAGTACGGATATTACTTCAAGCTCTGGCTGGTGAAGATGTGGATCGTAACCCTTTTATTTACTGCCTTAGTATGTGTTCACATGCAAACAGTGTATGCGACATCCATGTAATGAGGAACTGGGCCATCTAAGTATCTAAGGAAGTAAATAAGTGTATATGGCAGACATCTGCTTTACGATCCGGAAGTGCTCTAGAATATGCTAAAAACCAACGGATCTTACGAACCTTACGAAATCTCGTACATTGCTATATAAATAAAGATAAAATAACATTGTTCAAGGATCAAACAACCTAGACGACTTCATGTCTGTGAAATTTTCCTCACTCGCACATATCCGTTCAGTGATTCTTATTGTTCAACGTGAGTTTAATCTAGCAACAACCTAAGATACTGTTGCATTTGGCTTTCTAGTACCAATAAGCAGCACGGAGTGACAGTTTCTGTCTTAAGAATCATCGAAAAGGAAGATAGAATGCTAAGATTTTTTAACTAATGAGATTGAGAAAAGGGCGCGTGTGGTGCAGTGGTTGGAGGCGCCACTGCGATACACACGTGGAATCGATCCCCGCGTCCATGGCCCACCAAGCCTTCCATCCCTCCAGAGTCGGCAAATTGGTACCAAACTTGTCTGGGAGGATAGCAGCACTGGCTCGATACATCGGTAGGCCACCGTGAGTCATTGTAAAGGCCAGATATGCGTTCAGTCATCTCCACCGATACTTAATGAAGTCGAATGCATGGCGCATCCCTCAGGAATTGATCAACGCGGAGAGCTTTATCCTTATTCTTTATCCTCTTTATTCTTTTAATGAAATTGAAAATGTGCTCACCTTGGCTTTCACGCACCATGCCACTGGAAAAGAATCCGTGTTAGTGATGGTGAATTCACCATAGCATGGTTGTTTATACGAATCGGATGATAAGAAGACCAACCACCTGTAGTAATATCTAGAATATGGAAACACTTCCGCTTTACTCGAAGCGGCCCATTTGCTTGAGCGGAGTCAGTGCTGATAAACTCATTGAGAAGCTTTTATCTACTTAACTTGGCTCACACTGTAATACGTCGCCAGGTGTATCGCCTGTAAGACGATTCTTCAGAAGATCCTCACAGGTTTCGAGTATGTTATGCTGATTTGGCGGAAGCGGCGTGGATAGATCGTTCGTTGATTTTAGTGTCAGCATTAAAACCTTCTGTAAAGCAGTGATGCTTTTCTTAAGGAAAAATGAAACAGGCTGTCGTGTCAAACTATACTGTTGTTGTACAGAGACCTTGACAGAAGGATTGCAGCTCGTACTATTTTTGCGACAATTCCTCGGTTCACCCACCTATGGTTACGCTGCTAATCAAAGAGCTGTTAGAGAAGGTAAATCTAGCCAACGGAAAAGTACTAGATGTTCTGGATTCGTGGTGAGCTTATAATAAAGTACCACTGGCAAATAAAGAAGCGGAAGCCTTGATGTATAATAGTAAGCGTGCTCTCCATTACGTATCTTCTCAGTCAGAGCATTTTTAAGTTCGCTTGCATCTTTCTTACTACATACATGATCTGACAAAAACATCGCTCGTAAACCAGAACTTCCTTCATTCACTCAGCCTTCTAGTATCTGCCATCACGGTTTCCGAATTTGCATATATATTCGGCTGCTACTTGAGAATTTGATTTTTTTCATGAACAACCTTAAGCACTGCTTTATTGGATACTCTGTGGAGCCCTGTAATAGCTGTGCTAGGGAATTAACAGCACTTTTACCTTTTTACCAAAAGCAGTCGTCAACCTTTGCGACTGGAAGGGAGTTTCGCAAAACTCTGGTACAAAATGACTAGATCCTAAAAATAAGAGGGTTTAGTGTAGTGGTGATCTTAGTCGTACTATCGGAAAGCATCTCTAAGCCTTACGCCTTCTGCGCCGTTTAGTTATTCCAATACAGTAAGACAATGCTACGCTTTAACACTTTGCTCTGGGTTTGAGAGAGGATTGAGTTGGAAGTTATCTACATGGAAAGTTGCCGTTGTGTGGGTTACGGTGGCATAAGGTCGCAATTAATATGGAATTTCTCCCCCACAGAGACAACTTAGTAACCTACTCACGTAAAAGCTGACGTTTCGGCGGATTTCGCCTTCCTCAGAGCCTGGAAAGGTCAAGTTGACAGCAACCCATTCGGCCAAACACCTTCATAACCAGAGAAAACGCCAAACCAAGATTTCAATCACATTGAACACGGCTCCGCACATTCACCGCTTTCAATGTGTGAAAGCGGTGATACTCATGGAAAGCGGTGAGTGTGCGAAGCTGTGTTCAATGTGATTGAAATCTTGGTTTGGCGTTTGCTCTGGTTATGAAGGTGTTTGGCCGAATGGGTTGCTGTCAACTTGACCTTTCCAGGCTCTGAGGAAGGCGAAATCCGCCGAAACGTCAGCTTTTACGTGTGTGGGGAAGTGGAATAGCACCTCGTGTTTGCTGAACAGAAATGGAAAGCGTTGTTCAATCAATGCCGAGGTCAATAGAAAGTCGGACGTGGGAGTTACAATTTACTAAGTTCAGAAAACCAAAGGGTCTGTTTGCATGTAACACCCACCGGCTCGGAGCGTTGAAGCTTCAGAAATAAGCTGTTGAATAAAATGAAATGGGTTATCATAATATGAGTTACAGTAATAGGCAAGTCGGATCCCAGTACAGCATACGTGGTTCTCTTACTACTAATAACAGTTGCCTTAGAAAGTGGTATCATTATGAAATATGATGCCCCTCGCTTTCTTTGCGCCGGCTCAGCACATTGAGAAGCTTTCTGAACAACGGAGTGGATGGTGTTTACCAATGTCTGTTTGAACGACTAGATTATTACTGCCAGAGCAAGTGATAATGCAGTTGGTTTGTACATGCACCTGATCATGTTCGCTTGCTATTTCTTGTGAAATATTGCCAGAAGGTGCCCTTGGACGCTGGATGAGTTCCTTTCCAATATACTAGATTGATATTGACCAAAACCATAGATTTATATATATATATATATGTACATATATATATATATATATTTGTGAAAGAAAGGATCCCATTGAGGACGCGATTATTCATTCACTGGCCGATCTTTGCACTGAATACATAAGTCAGATTACACAGTGCTTCTATGTCCTTCATGATTTAAAGAAAAGCGACGTCGTAAGTTTTATAGTATTGCCGGCTACGCGACAACAATTTGGTGAACATTTATGATTCAGGGCAAGATGGAGCAAGAAACATTATTTCCGACCCGCGACAAATATCTTGGATTTATTACGAAATTCTTGATGGAAAACGCGGAAACTGGTAAATTATTAACAAGAGTTATAACTAATATACAATTCAATACACGATTAGTACCGGATCCGGCACGTTTTCCTTCGTTTCTTTCCCGTCCAGTCGTCACCCACGCTGGTGGTCTTCTTCGAGCAAGTACTAGCGAAGCAAAGGTGACGATCAACGAGCTCAGCGAAGCAGGGAAAGATCGCACTTCGCAAAAATCGAAAGAAGACCAAGTTCATGAAAGTTCCTTCTTAGGTAACTAAGCTAATACGAGGTTGATAAGAAATTTCAAAGAAAAACAATAAATTCGATTAAAATAGAGACGTATTCAGTTCTATATTTGCCTATATTGAGACAAACTCATTTCAGAAAATCTCCAACAAGGCGACTACGTAACATCGTTCTGTTTTAGTGCTTGTTGACATGTCCCTTTTTATTAATTTATTATTAGTGCGTTATTTGTCATGAAAATGTTCGAAAACGATAATCAGCACCTCTGAAAATTTCCCTCACTTTTAAAATAAAGGACTCTTTTACCCCTATAGAGGTCCACCTCATAGCTTCTGTAACTGCTTGTAGTTGGGGTTCTCCCGGTAACCCATTAATATTTAATTGAATACACCGTTGCATCACTCATATCTACAAACGTGTTCAACTTTTTAGTGATAGTTCTTAGGTATTTTCGTAGAAACGTCTTTGTTGCTAAGGATTTGAACTATGACCTCGTTGCTAAACCAGTTAGTTTGGAGCACTTATAGCACCAGATGTAGATTCTGTGTAGGTTGGACGAGGTATAGAACGTAAATACGTGAGATGAAGTTTAGCATCTCGTGAAGATAAAAGAACAACGAGAAATTGTGTTGTCCGAAAACTCTATCACAAGGTTATCGGATATCTCTCTATCGGAAGGTTAGATATGCAACAGCTATATTGGTTCGCTTTTTTTTAAACGAATTTACTAGAAACAACCAAATTCCAAATTAAAAAACGTCGGTTAATATGTCACATTCCGATTGCGGTTCATTACACAGTATTCCGCTCAAATTTCAAAAACAATGAGAACCAATGAACACATTTGACAAACTGGATTATTCTTACGAGCCCAACATGTCAGCAAGAATCTCCTTATTACTTTACCACTTCCATCCAATGACTTTGCAGTTCGGTTTTATGGTATGTTGCAGCTCTTCAAATATTCGCGTAGTTCTAGCAAAAGTTTGGGTTCTAACGCAACGCTTGTTTGATTTGTTCAGTGACCAGATTCAACGTCATGTGCTTTCATATAGTTTTAACATATGACTCAGTTACGCATCCATGTAGTATTCTCCTTTCTTGTTAATGATCATTTTGAGGACGTCTGGTACCTTCTGCCATAGTTCCGTTATTTTTTTTCTGACCTTATTAGGAGCTTTAATAAGAACACAATATCTTCGTAAATTTTCTTTTCTGAATGCGGATTTAAAGTCACCGTGTTCGAAAATTATTGATGTGTGATTCCACAAGGTAGCCGCGTGGCACAGTGGTTGGAGACTCCCTACAATACATATGGGATCGGTCCTGCTCGCCAGGCTCACCACCTCGTCGATTCTTGCGGACTCGGCAAATGGGAGCAATCTAGGAGGATGGAAGCAGTGACTCGGTACATCCGCGAGTCCGCGGGTCGTTGTATAGGCCAGACATGCATTCGGTTACCTCTAAAGATGCTTAATGATGTGAAACGCACGCCATTCTTAGAGATCGATCAACGCTGAGAGCTTTATCTCACATTTTTCATGATTCCACAGGCGTTGCAGTGGCATTGATATCATTCAGTGTTACTGGTATTTTCTCGGACAACGACATTACTGTATTACACGAAAGATGGTTTTTGCCTGCAGCGAAAGAAGCATCGTAGCATGGGTATCCTGGGATTCTAAAGACAGCGAGCTCCACCAGCATTCGGCGACATTATTAAAGAAGACTAAAAATCTTCGAGAAGCAGTCATAGTCAAGTCTCAGACGTAAAATCCAAACACTATCGTTGTTGCTCAATGCAGGGAAGCAAATCGAATGCAAGAAATGATAAGATCTGCAGCAAAGTGTGATGCCGGAAAGTGTTAAAAAAAAGAAAAAAAACATAAAGGGGTCCACTACGAGTAATTGTGGTTCCGTTGTCCGGGAGCACAACGAACACGCAAGTCTCACATTCACTTACCAAATTTCTGGTTGCTTAACAGTTCACAATTGATTCTGACCCTGATAACCCTAGATTTTAGTGGAAGTTGACTTATTGGTTTTCCAACATCGGCAAACGACATTCTGTGTTTTGAGATCTGTAAACGATTTGAAAAAACTACGTGATTTAGTATCTGCTCACTCCCGTTAGCGGGCGACTGTTGATGGCACCCTTAGGTAGAAAACTAAGCAAGAGAAGGACAGTGCAAGCGACTCAGTGGTGCAGTGGGTAAGAGATGAAATCGCGTTAAGGGTAGTCTCGGGTTGAATCTGATGTGAGTCCATATTTTGCAAATATCTCAGCAACATAGTGATTTCTTACATTTCATAAAGTATTACATGGAAATGAAAGAGGAGGGTCTGTTCAAAGGCGATATTCAATGCAAAGATACTCTGAAATAAAATGTTTCCTGTTAGTGCTTAAAACAAATTTCTTAGCAACTTGAAGCTTTTTTACTTTTCAGGTTTTCTTCGGCATTTTCGGCGTGATAGAGAAAGCAAATGCGAGTAAAGAACGTAGAGGTGATAAATTATTCCAAGTTCCTTGACATGACTGACATAAACAACAGTTCATAGAGTTTAGACGTCATTCAGGTTGTAAGACGACCGTTGCTGCGCAAATATTGCTAACCGATGCACACAATGCATTGCGACGCCAATATGCGAAAGGAGATTTTCGTTTTCTTGGTTTAGGCGGTGGAACGATTTCAGATATGAACAAACTGGTTCGCCATGCCGTTTCACATACCTCCTCACTGTCTATGGACGTTTTCTAGTTATTTACATTTTGTTGTAAAAATTCTTTTTTTTAAAAATTATCCGTGTGTTCTCTGCAATATCATAACTAGAACAACTTCTTGGCAGTGCTTTGTTGAAGCGCCTTATATATCACGAAAGTTCTTTCGGATCTCACCATTTCAACGAACTCAATGTTGATCTGGCCAATGGAACAAAAAATGGGAGCATCGGGAATGTTGGAGGGCAAACCACATGGTTAAAAGATACCTTTAATTGCAGGAGTACGATTGCAAGCTGGAAGAAGAGCTTCGAGATGGAACCTTCGATTTGGAGCGTCAATCATATTCCAACGCAACGAGGTCCTACTCCTGTTTTTTATGCACAATTGGTAGGAACATAAAAAGACAAAAGGGTTAAGTACAGAATAGGATAAATAATTGAGGATATCTGTTCTATGGAAGATTTACGCTTAACAATTTAGGAAGGTTCCTACCAGTGGGAGTTTAGTGAACGAACTGAGGAAGGCGGTCAGCGAAGACCTTTTTCTGGATAATATTTCTGAGGTAGCATGGTACTTTTATCTATTATTCCATTAAATGCGAAGGTAGATAAGTCGGAATATAGGGGCCTTAATAAAGGCTATTCAAGGTTTTTTCACAAGAATTGTACTTTTTCGAGTGATAGCAGATCCATCAAAAAGCTTTCTGGATGTCGGCTTTATCACAGTAGTTAAAAGCCTGGAAAACTGTGGAAATATTTTTATAACGGTGGCTGAACCCCTTAAAACAGATCGTTCAGATGTTGAACTCGAAACAACAACGGTTCGGGTGTGTTATAGGAAAACATGGCCCAAAAGCAAACCAGACGTTGACGCTTGCATGTCTTTACAATACGAAGTACGGCAGTTGGGTTGTCCAAAATTTTTCATGAATAAAAGAACAAATTTTCCATTGCAGAAATACGGACGGTCTACTGAATCATGATGGCAGTTTGTGTTCGGATTGCGAATATGGTCGCCAGTGTGACGATGGACTCTGTGCCGTCGTCTACAATGATTTTGATGGAGAACTTACTTTAAAATGAGGTTGAATATAATAAATGGCCACTCAGTCATTGGTTCGTAATGTCACATCGTATGGCTTTAATTTGAAAAATAAACAATTTAAAAAATTCATGTATAAGAGGGAATAAGTCGTTGTTCTGTAGTTTAGTGTAAAACAATAAAGCGATGTGATAGAAAGAGCTTGTTGGCCTCCTGATTGCTTGGAATTTAGATCCAAGAAATCAATAAACGAAAGGTGTGCTCTTGTTTGGCGGAATTGGGTAGTTTGTCCTCACAAGTCGCACGAATAGCAGAAAATTTCTCAGCCGTTTTGCGACTTCCTGGAGTTCGTCGTACTTCGTTATATGATTGGAGCACGGTGCTCCCACAAGCACTACAAGTACTAGGAAAGTGAAATATCGTGCATGCTTTTTATTACGTACTCATCAAATTAACGATGAGAATCAAATCGATTAGACCAGCACAATCCAAATGGGAGACCATGGATCGATTACATACAAATCGCATCAAATTGCGCTACTTACATGGAAGCTAAGACAGTCTGTCTTGACGGATTGGAGGAACCACAGCATATTTCCTACTCGCTTTTTTGCCTACCAAACCTCACTCGTGGTGGTGAATTGATTCCAGTGTGGAAAAATGCGAGACTCATACCGTGATCTGTAAAAGAATTGCAGTTGCGAGTACAGCTGATTGACGTCAGTCATGAACACATCCGCATGGCGTGTAGGTAGATGTTGGCATCGAAAATTAGGTTGATTTTGAAAAACCTGAACTTCGCGCTCCGGCGAGACATTTTGAGCGCCGTTAAATTTCGGAATACTTTGTTCAAGTGCTAAGTAGTGTGCAGAATTCTTGAAATGGATGAGGCATTGACCAACCTAGAGAGCGCTGGAAGGACTGTTAAACCGAAAAGGTGAACGCGGATTTTTGGGTCCTTTAGCTGGTCGGTGGCTTCTATGAGAGGCCCGAATGAGGCCCAAGCGCTGCTCAACTTTGTCTCTTTATGCGCCGCCCTGTCTTTTTCCACAATTCATTGAGTATCTCGAGCATCGTGTCGACTTCACTGGTACTTCTCGGAAAGATGATGATGCCAGTTTGTATTCTTGTCCCATTGCAGTGAATTCATTATCCATTGAAATGTGGGGTAAACAACTTTGACGATATTGTGTGGCCATGAAAAACTCCTTTTCTTTCGGGCATGGGAACGAGTTCATGGAAAAGCTGTTGTCTGAAGAAAAAGCTGAAAATTTTTGTGTTATAGTTTCTATAACAGTCTGCTAGTCATCATAGACAAAACATACATAGACATTACCAAAACTTCTCTTAGTACATATTTGGCTGTTGACGGGTGACTGCTGGTAGCACCTATAGGTCAATAACACGGCTGAGAAAAAGGCGTAATGATGGACCCGCATGGTGTGGTGGTAAACGCGTTAGCCCTCGGAAAAAAAAAAACGGCTAATATTACGCGTTCGATTCGCACCGCAGTCGCTTGCGGTCCAGAGTTTTGCAAACATCTCAGCATCATTGTACTTATAAAAATTGGAGTTTTTGCTGATACAGTAGTGCTGACGATGATTCTACGAAAAAAGTTAAGCAAGAAGACTTTTGTAAACCACAAATCTGGTTTCCTCTTCTGTCTGATGAGCTTTGAACTTGAAGTTGAATAGGTGAAATTTTTAGCGAGTCCGCTTATGATAGTCGAAAAGCGGGCACTTTTAGAAAAAATCAGCAGGTTGGTTCCATGTGGCGGTGAAGTTCAAATTGTTATCTCATTCTTAGTAGATTTTCCACCAGTTTTGTTAATGTCTACCGTATTTTGGTGAAATGAAGGTGATGTTTAATGTTTAATTGACGAAGCGACTTATTTACACTGAGCTTTTGAACGGATTATTGTATGTTTACCACTTATTTTTATGTTTTTAAATCGTGTGTTTTTTCACTCTTCATTATTTCTTCACCTACGTGCCAATTGTTTTTTTTGGGCTTCAAGCAGTTGATGGTTACTACAACAACATATGTAGTTATTAATCAGAGAATTATTGCCATGTATTAAATGTTGTAAAGAATGTTCTGTTACACTGGTCTCATTGGATCCTTTACAATCTGGCAGTACATTATCGTCGTCCTATGGAAAACGGGGCACTTTCCACTGTCGTTTTCGCAGTACGGAATCGTTAGTTTGATGAGATATGAAAAGTGGTTCAAAAGTGATCTTGCACTTCCATCAAAACGCGTGTGAACTATCACCTTACGCATGCATAAAAGTTTACTCATCTTGTTACACCGTTGTGGAGCGGTCAGTCGAGTAATCACAGGAGTCGCTGCCATCCTGGAAGAGTCTGAATCGCATGGCATCGAACGTATGCTTGATCCACACGGAACAGCTATTGCCAATGGTGACGAACTGAGAACATCGTAGTACGGCAATCTCGGGTTCTCAGCGAAATTTTGCTGTACCCAGAATCTGGCATCTTCTGCTTGTACGAAGGTTGTAGTTTTCACGTCGAGTCTTCTAAAGGCATGCAATCAAGGGACTGAGGAGAAGTGAATGAGGCGGTTTGGTGTCACGCACCCGCCACTGTGGTGATTATGACATCATCGCGGACTTTAGTGAATAACCTATGAGTATCTTCTTATCATGTATATAAAAAGACGTTGGCCGGATGCCATACAAGGTTATTTCTTTGTTGA